GTGCAGGTTATCCGCTGATCTTCTCCTCCCGACTCCCTCCACGCGCTCGTCGTCTCGCTCCCACACTCGCCGGCTGCCTGTCGGACAATCATTCATTCATCCAGGGGTATTATGAGTGGTTTTCATGGGTCAATATAGGATCCAAACCAATGCTTCTAGAAAGCAAAGGACGCACTGGGTTCGAGTGTTGATGGATGTCGGTGGTATTTCTATCAGTGCCGGATAGGACTGTCTCATCGAGTTCATGGATGGTAGAGAAGTCCTGATGATGATAATTGGTGAGGGGAATATGAGTTCTGGGGGGGACGAAGTGTGAGTCGCATTGGGTACGAAAGCGACTGAGTTTGGTAGCAAAGTCCGACTTGAAGTCGTCGGAGACGAGATACTGAGAGGTTTTGGTCTTGCGTCTGTCGGCGAGGGTGGTGGTGGAGCAGTAGACGGACGAGGAGGAGGGAGGGGAAGCAGGTGTGCGGGTAGTTGTGGAGGTGTTGTTGGTCATGGGTTCCTGATCATGCCGCGACATATCCCTGGTGGCGACATGGACTTGGCTGCTGGAGAGCGATGGGGAATGGGCTGGTGAAGAAGTGAAGGCCATCATTATAAGTAGTATGGAAATGAAGAAACGCAGGGGGATATCTTCTGGTTTATAATAAGGTGGAAGAATTGGACATGACGAGACGACGAGGAGCTTCACAGAGCTTGTGCGTATGTACTCTAGTCATATATTCGAGACGATAAGGGAATCATAGCCCGACACTCGGATCTGGTTGGCGTGTGGATGCATGTTAATACTATTCCACATTAAATGAAACAGCCCAGGCATGGAAAGAGTCAAGAATGGCTCAACAAGGAATTCAAGACTCAAACATATCACGCATCACTTTGAGAGCAACCCATGCTACTAGGAATATCAGTGCCCCGATCGTGCTGCCCCAAGCGGCCAGCCCCAGTGGCGAGCCACCGCACGTGAGGTGGAAGAAGAGGGGCCGAGCGATCATGGCACGTCGGTCCGGGAGCACCGGGGCGGCCATGCCGTCGAGGGAGCATCGGCAGAGCGGACAACGCGGGACTCCCCGGATGCACGCCGTGTGGAACCGATGTCCACACCCATTCCAGGAAGTTATGGTTGATTGGACTCCCTCTGCTCCTATCTCCTCCTGACATACCGCACAGATATTGGCCTCCTCACCCGCACTGCCGGTCCCCTCCCCATCTTGCTCTCCCGACTCCCTCACATCTATCGCCACCGAATCATGTCCTCCTCCTCCCGAATTGCTCCCCTCCTCCAATCCCTCCTGCTTCCTGTCTCCTTCCCATTTCTTATCATTCACATCCTTCCTCCTTGGACTCTATGTGTATGAAAACCCAACAACATAAGTAAATGGAAAATCAGTCAAGACCTTCTTTTACCCCAGATATATACCAGTATCAAAATTCAAGAAGGGGAACGCACTGTGGGGGAGTTACTTATAGGATGAACCCCTCCAGCCATCGCCGAGTCGAATGAGTCTGAGACCGTCACGGGATGGACGCTGATCGAGGTCTCCGGCTGCTTCAGACTATCGGGAGTGCTAAGCTCATGATGATGGCCTGGCGATGTGACGACTTGCAAAGCACCCATGAGCGGATCGCCGGATGAGACGGCAGGCTCTGAATGGCACCCAACAAGACTACCAGGCGACCACGCTCGTACAACAAGTGTGTCTGCACAACACCATACTGCTAACTGGTGTCCAGAGCATACAATATTAGTCCAACTTTCCTAAAATATGAGCCTTTTCTCTCTCTCTCTCTCTCTCTCATCTGCATCAGTAACCACAGGGACCCTCTCACCAGGCACATGATCACAACTCTTCTTGCCACAGCCATAGTATTGTTTGTCCGTCTTGGGATTCAATGTACCACCACTCGTTTAAGGAACCCTTTTTTTTTCTTGTATATAAAAGAAGAAGGCCTAAGGGAAGCTGAGCCTCCTACCTGCCTAGCTGTCGATGTTGTGATACTATGTTAGGATCGCCGCGTCTAATGTCGAACGTCTTGTGATAAGATCAACACGAATTAGATATATATATAAGGTATAAAGAAATCGGAAAAATATTTCCCTGTGTTGTGGTGGCGAGCAGAGATTGAGCAGACAGACAGATGACTTTCTGTTTCAGAGTGTCTATATTCCGGGCCCTCGCGCACCTCAACATACTATATATGCATCTACAGAAAACTGTCCGGGTGTCCACTTCCGCATCTTGTGAAATGCTGCTGTCCTCTTATAATTAGCCCATCTGTCCGCTAATTAAAATTTGATGTCCTCCTGTTTACTCTTACATGTCCTGATCTTGACTGGATACTGAAAAAAAAAAAAATCAAACTGCTGACTGAAAGCTGTCCTGTGTTTTACTACACAGGACATTACTTTTGTGTGACTCAAATATCGTTATCGCAGTGGCTTCTTGGGTCTAAAACATCATTGCTTGTTTTAAGTGAGATGAATAAAAACATTGAATAGCAGCTTGATTACACATAAAAAGAAAATTGCATCGAAGAAATTAAGGAACCGAGAGAAGCTGCTTATTTATTTCTTGCATGGGACTCCAGTTCCCTTGGAAGATCTTGGGCCTCTTTGTCCCGCTTTTTCCACATCATCCGTTGGACTTCCAGAGCCAATTGCTTCTAAGCATGTTTGCTAGAAGAATACCAAAAAAAGAAAAGAAAAAAGTGAAAGGAGAAATATAGAGAGAAAAAAAAAATGACAAGACTTACTTGAGGGAAGCCAAAGATGCCTCAGCCTCTAGCTTAACCTAATCCTCTCCAAAGGAGGGGGAGGGGGGGTGTTGAGTTTTCTTCTCTTTCCTCCTCATCCCT